ATACGACTTGTGGTGTATGTGCTTGCGCAATCTTGCATGAACGTGTTTGATTCTTCACCACTATAAATACGAATGTCAAGGATAATCGTTACAAATTTGTTTCTGGAATTTCATGAAGAAAACTGAATCGATATTAGTGTTGGACAGTGACTGAATTTGTTTCCAGACTTTCGGAAAGAAAAGTAAAGTGAATCGATATTAGTGTTGGTCAGTGACTGAATTTGTTTCCAGACTTTCGAAAACAAAAGTAAAGTGAATCGATATTAATGATTGCCAATGTCGGGAAAGTAAGTACCTACCTGTCTATTTGTTATACACAATGTCCCAAATTGGTGCTACATGTATTGCTATCTCGGTTAATATAAGAGCTACAAAATCGGTTAAATGGGCAATGTTTCTCAGGATTCTATTATCATTTCAGAACTGCTGTTACATTTTGTCAGTTATTTTTGGTTTTTGAATAAATCGTTAAAAACCAAAATGGTGAGTTTCTGACATGCCTCCGTATCTCGATTATTTAAGGACATACGGTATTTTGGTCTAGACATTGTATGGGCACTTTTTTAAGGTCTTTACAATAAAAAATAAAATAAAAGAATTACTCCTTCCGTTTAGGAGATATTGACTATAACTATGTTTTTTCTTACAGACGCCATATTGGATTTTTATTGCATTAAATAGAATTGTTAATTCCCTTTTTAAAAATGTATCACAGCATGTTACTTTCTTTCCTATGAATGCCGAAATAAACAAATCTGAAAATGTCCAAATTAATTTTGCTGCTCTGCTCAATTTGGTCTAGTAGACGAGCCAACAATATGTTTTAGAACTGTCAAATTATAGTCGGTTTAATTTAAACTTTATAAAAACCGTATAAAAACAAGGATTTGTGATAATTTTTGGGACAATTTACAATACAAGCTTCAGATATAAACTGTATAATTTAAAGAAATTGTTCTATGTGGCCACCATTTTGATCACAACACATTTGACAATGATTTTGTAGAGAGTTTATAATAATGTGTTTCTATTCACTGCACCCATAGCGTTTCAGACTCTTTCTTCTAAAACTGCAATATTTTTAGGAGCTTCAAATGAGTAAGTTTCGTTTTTAATGTGTCCCCATAAAAAGTCAAAGCGATTTATACCAGGGGATCTAGCAGGCCACAAAATGTCGCCATTTTTCGCAATTAATCTATTATGGAAGTTTTCTTCCAAATAATTCTTTACGACGGCGGCATTATGAGCTGGACAACCATCGTGCATATACCAAATTTGATCCAAGTTCCCCACAGATGCCCTCACAGCGGGCATTATTTCTTTTTGTAAGAGCTAAAGATATCGTGCTGCATTAAAATTGAAATTAAAAATTATTGGTCCAATTAATTGATTTCCTGAAAGTAAGAATTTCAATAATTTCATATTTAAACGTAAATCTCATTGTATACTTGCCTATTATGCCTTACCAAACATTAAATTCAAATTGTTTTTTGGAATCTTCTTTGTGAGGGCAGTTTTGGGTTTTCTATAGCCCTGTGATGGGTATTATGCCTGTTAAAAACTCCGCAATTGGTAAATCGAGTTTTGACAGTCCATAATAATATGCTCAAGGAAATACTGGCATTTTCTCGCATATGTTGAATGTACCATTCACAAAATCTTACTCTTCGGGGAAAATCATTTGCCGATAAACCTTGCACAATCCTAGTTTTGTAGGGATGATATTTATTAACGTCCAGTATTCGATGAGCGGACGACTTTATTACCAGTTCTTCTAACCGATGCTGTGGGATTATTATTACTGTATTCTAATACAGCATCAACTCTCTCCTTATTTTCAATAGCATATTTATGATTTCTGTGTTTCTCAAAACTTCCATAATTTAGCAAATTTAATACCAGATCCCTAAAATGTCTTGCGTTAGGTTGATTCCGTTCAGGAAATTTATTTTCATAAATTTTTGCAGCCGCTGTAGAGTTTCTGTAGGCTACGAAGTAAGTTTCTAACATGTCTAATTTTTCTTCATTGGTATACTTAAGAGCCATATTTGAAAATAATAACAACGTAAGGGAAATTAAATTTAACAACAAAAAAAAAATTAACAAATTGAAAATGAACGAATAAAATCTAATGTTAAACCAACTATAATTTGTCAGTTTTAAAACAATTTTTGGCTCGCCTACTAGACCAAATTGAGCAGAGCAGCAAAATTAATTAGGAAGGTTTTAGATTTGTTTATTTTAGCATTCATTTAAAAGAAAGTACCATGTTGTAATACATTTTTAAAAAGGGAATTAACAATTCTATTTAATGCAATAAAAATCCAATATGGCGTCCGTGAGAAATAACAAAGTTATAGTCAATATCTCTTAAATGGAAAGAGACATTTTTTTGTTTTATTTTTTATTGTAAAGATCTTAAAAAAGTGCCCATAAAATGTCTAGACCAAAATACCGTATGTCCTTAAATAATCGAGATACGGAGGACTGTCAAAAACTCACCATTTTGGTTTTTCGCGATTAATTCAAAAACCAAAAATAACTGACAAAATGTAATAGCAGTTTTAAAATGGTAATAGAATCCTGTGAAACATTGCCCATTTAACCGATTTTGTAGCTCTTATAATAACCGAGATAGCAATACATGCAGCACCAATCTGGGACACAGTGTATACATATAGTTTTAAGCCGAGAAAGATTGAACTTATCGTCCCTACTTTATTTTTATTACCTATCTAATTCATTTAATTATTGCGGAGTTTTGATATCAAAATATTGTTTAAAAGTTTCTATAGAATTTATAGAAATATATTAAAATATATTAAAATATATTAAAATATATTAAAATATATTAAAATATATTAAAATATATTAAAATATATTAAAATATATTAAATAAAATAATAATTTTATATCACATTAAAATAAGTTCAGCCGTTTTCATAAAACTTCATTATGGATCTTAGCGATTTATTGCTTTTAATAATTAGAAACAGTTTGCAGCCGGAACTTTGTTTATTTCATAATTATAATAATTGATTAATCATATTATGTTAAAATAGCCATATCCTGTTAAGTTCGAATCGCTTTAAGATTACTAAAACAAAGTTTTTTTATTTATTTACTTACACATTTACAGGTAGGTTATTGATACAAAACATGGCCGAATCTAAGAAGAAGTGTCGTCAGTACAGTGGCATAATTAATGTTTTGTCACCAGTTTCATAATGTTCAACACTATGCAACTGGTTGCATAAAGTAGATAATTTTGACAGTTGCTGCGATTACAAAAAATATCACTTTATATGTCAAAATTAGTAAAACTAAATTTTTAAACCAAAAAACAAATAAACAAATAATGTAAGAAAAATATGATATGTAGATGTCGCATATAGAATCTACATAAAAATAGGCAAATATCAAATAGTTCAGTACCATTTTCTCTTGTATTTGTGATCAGATTTTCTACTTTTTTGTTTTGTCCAGTAGCTATTGACGAGCATCAATAATCAATAAAAAAATGGAAATAGTTATTTTTTTTCCAACCTCCGTTATATGAAATCCATTGCTATTATAAACAATTATGAATTATTATTGACTAAAAAAATTAGCCTACAGTGAACATGAGCACCGTTTAATTTTGAACGACATGGACGGATAATGGTTCGCGAAAAAAAAATACTTCCTCCCCCAACTCTTTTAACTCTCCTCCCCTCTCTTTCTCTGCCACGTCTAAATGGTAAGGGATAGAAAAAATACTAAAAGCGGTGCGATAAGCCCCGTCTTAAATAATATCAAACTCCTCAATTTCACTTCACTCCTACTTCACCCACATCTAAGGGGAGGTCGATCCTAGACTTAGGAAAATGAACTTCGGGTACGACAAAACAATCTTCACCCCAAAGGACTGTGACGAATTCACTAAATGTTGCTCTCAATTAATTTAAAAAATTAGTATTTCAATTAATTCCCGCCTGAGAACATGTATTTCTGTTTCCCAGGAATTACAGTTTTTCAACAATTGCGAGTACCCTCGTAAATTAAAATATTCCTATATTTGCCGAAATCCGAATGGGCATTTTGTAGAGTCGATTTCGTACCGATTATCTACCTTTATTTGTCAAGGTACTAGAAGGACATTTTTTATATCTTTAAATTGTAAACAGTCGGCTGTAGTAGTGGTATCCCCCAATCGGGTTTACCGAAAATCATAAATTCAATGACATCTGGGAATTACACTCTCTTGATTGCTGACAGCCGAAAACTATTCGCCCTTCTATAGTGCCTAGTAAATCGTCGGTATACAAGCAAAATCCATTAAGTCAAAAAACATAGTTTTTAGATATTGCGATTTTAAGTTTTTACATTTGTATTTGGTTTTGCAGTTTTATTGCGTGCAACTTTTTCTTACATTTTATATTGGTAGAGTAATTTTGCACATATATTGAATGAAATGTCACATTAAGCATTTTATTTTGAATTTATATTTTTGTTTATTTAACGATGTTTTCCTTCAATTGTACTGACTTAATGTGTTTTACATGTATAATAAAAAAGAAAACTGCGACTTATATTCTTTTTTTTAACTTAAAAAAATATGTATTTTAATATTCTAAATAATAATACAAAACAATATTTTGAATAAAGTTTAGGAAAGAAAATAGTTAATAAAATAAAAAGAACGACTCCAGCCATTCATTATTGAAAAATATATTCACATTTTTTTAGTAGTTCTCTTCCTCTTCATCGGGGTCATTTTCACCTGGTTCTGCAGTTACGTCTTGAATAGAAGATGAACTGGGCAAGCTTCTATACCAGGCATAAAGGGGAGAGGAAATAATATTTTTTCGCAAAGCTGTATAAGGTCCTTTTTTTGGCGGCGGAGATTGGTAACTGTTTTGTATATAGTTGTGGAATAGTAAAGTTTTCAAAATCAGCCATTTTACCCCTTCTATCTGATGCACGTCTCTCAAATCCAATGTGTATTTTCTCGTACTCACTGTATTTATACTGAATCGTGTTGGGCAACTGCTTGTCATATTTAAAACATTTTACTTTTAACCAGTTGACAGTATTTCCTTTCTCGTCTTTCTTGTTGGTAACAGTACATTGAACAAGTTTTTTTAGATCTAAAAAGTCATTAAATAACAATTTTCGAGTTTGATAGGGAGACTTCTCACGCTTTTTGCCAATTCTTGCTATTTTAAAGATATTTTCATATTCGTGCACACTATAAACATCAACATGACGTGTAGCGGTTTCAATGGCGCTGTGCATCGAATCCACCTCCATGTAAGAATGCCCACTCTCCATAAATTTTTGTTCGATTACACAAAGGCTTGAGTGACTTCGTACAAGATGTAGTAGACAATCTGCTATCTGTACATTTCTATTTTGACGGCCACAAGTGTCGGAAAAAATAGTCAGGTGCTTAACCTCATCACGTAGTGAGTTTATATAAAATGACAGACAAGTACTGATTTTACAACTACCGCGTTTTCCATTTATTTCCGTCCAAAAATAGCAAAAACCGTCATTTGGTGCTGCCGATTCATAAATAGTAAAATTGTGCAAGTTTAGTTTTCGGAGATAGTAGAGTAAACTAACTTGTGAGATGGGAATTTGAAGAACGCTTTGCATGTCGCACGTTAATGACTTAAAAGACTTATCACTCGCTGCCCTTTTCTTATCTTCTTCTTTATTTTTCATCGAAGCTTCTTTTCTCTGTAAATGTTTTTTGTATTTTAACTCCAGTGGAAGCCTTTCTTCAGTAGATGCTTTCTGATATTCATTACAAGTTGAACATTGGTCTTTTTTGGGTTTAAAAAATGACATATTGTACTCGGTGCCAAATATTTTTCGATACGTTATCATACTTACTCCAATAGATTGGTTTTCATTACACTTTTCCATAAATAAATTGTACATTTTTTGTATATTCAGATTTGAATCAAGGTACAGTCTTTTACTTGATTGTCTTGTGTAATGACTTTCAACGACAGGAAAACTTTCGATATGCGCTTTTACTCTTAGAATTACATCTTCAGGAGTTTTATTGGCCGGTGTCTTCTGACCTCTTCTGTCCATCCCACTAAACTACCCACTATTACTTTCATATTGAAATGCACTTATAATAGGTAGATTCGATATACATAATGTTTTACAAAAGAACTTCTGACAGACCTGGTATTTAGTTTCATTTTTTGCAAAAAAATAAGATTTTGCATTACTTCTCTGTTTACTCTCTTCCCCTTCCTAGGCCTACGATTTTTAACTTCTTTCGACGTTATATTCATAAGTATAAAGTCTTTCTGTCGTTGGTACGGTAAACTGTAGTATTTTTGGCACAATAGTTTTCGATCCTCTTCAGAAAACTTTTTTGTACACTTGTAACGGCATTTAGAACAGTCCACTGCTGCGGGGATCTTGTGTGCTTGAATTTTCCCAGTGACATTTTTGTAAGGCTGTCCTTGACTTCTTTTCGTTTTTTCAACACTTCTTGCCCAAGTTGAGGGTCTTGATGTTATCCATCTTTGTCTCTTTTTAGCCTTTCTTGGGTTTTCTTTGTCTGCAGTACCAGCTCTATCTCTATTTTTATCGTGTTCATTACTTGTTTCTGAAAGTTCAATATCATTCTCTGGTAAAAAGTCCTTGTCTTTCACTGAATCATCCGAGTCATAGTCAAAAGGAATTTCATTGTCACTCTTGTTAGGGACTTTATTTTCGTTCCTAACACTTATGGAGGACTCAGCTAAAACAAAAACCTATTATTTTTTATATTATTTCAATTAAAGCAAAGCAAATAAATGTTTAAAATTATATCATTTTTTTTAAAGAAACATCTGGAGATCAAAATATTATATTGTAAAAATTCACCAAAAAATGATGTAACTTTAAAAATGTCAAAAACCATCCTAAATAGTAAAAATGTTGTGTTATTTTATACAATATTGCAGTAATACGTTACGCCACAATAATATTAAAAAGTTAAAGCAAAATTAATCATACATCTATTAATAATCGAAAGAAAAATGTTAATAATTTAAAAATACGTGTAAATCATCTTACCTTCTGAAACATCATCGATTTTAAGGCGTTTAACCATTGAATACTGTTTTTGGCTGATATTTTCTGAACATTTTTGGGAAGTGGATGCTAAAAGAAAAATAATCAATTGTGTAACAAAAAGAAACTAATAAGGACTCATTATCACTATCCAATTATCTTAAAAATATGTAAAAATAATCTTACCTTCTAAAGCATCATCGATTGTTATGGGTGTTAGCACTGAATACTGTTTTTCGTTGGTACTTGCTGAACATGTTTGGAAAGTGGAAGCTAAAAGAAGAATAATCAGTTGTATGATAAAAAAAATAAAGACTGATTATCAAAATGCAGTATAATAATTGTAGTTAGGAGGCGCAATTATTGACAATACATGCATATGTACACATACATACAGACGGACTCTTACTGACATAATTTTTTCTTGAACTTTAATAGAATAATAACATTATATTTGATAAAACAAAGTTAAAGAGTAATTTTTTAGTTCAGTATCTAGTTTAACCTTACCTAAAGTAATATTTCATGCAAAAGTAAAATGGCAACGTTGTTAGCATCCTTCTTGAGCGCCAAAGCATTAAAAATCTTTTTTCACATTTTCTTACTACTTGGAAATTACCTAATTAAATTATAATTTTAAACATTATTTGGTACACACTTACCTATACAATTATTTTGATTTTTCTGCAACTCAAGAAATATTTTATCAATACGTCTCATTATGGCACTTTACACTAGCACCGCATGAACAAAACTAACCGCGCCTGTAAAAATTTCAATGTGAATTGGGATTTTGTAGTTGTCTCGACTTGTCTAACGATTCAGCAAAATCCACTAAGTTGGAACGGCGCGTAACATTATGAGTATTTTCGTTCAAGAAAAATCCACTAAGTCACTTAATGGGTTTTACCTGAACAAAAGAGATCTTATTTCGGACTTAGTGAAAACCATAATATGAGAAAAAGTAGACGTCATAAACCGAATGACTTGGTGGGTTTTGCCAGAAGACAGGGTGTTAAAATTAAAGCTGCTGGTGTAAATAAGCAAATTTAAAAAAAATTGACTTAGTGTGTTTTGCTTGTATACCGACGAAATACTCCGTGAGTGACCGTCATATCGAAAGAATATTGAACAACCCCGTTTATTTTTCTAAAGGTAGGAAACCGCTTATTATTTTTTTATTTACAATTAGTTTGGGACACCCGTCCAAGTAAAATAATTTTGATTCATGCCCAGCATTTTTCATTTCATCCCTTAGTGGGAAACCGTTGGCTATTTTTTTTATAAGGCACCTAGTATTTTTCATGTAAGTTTCTCTTTTCTTTTATTTATTTATTCAATTGTATTTGAATCGTTCCGTTCCCCGTTCACAACTAATTATTGAACGAAGCCCAACTTTCACACCGTCTTGATCGCCTTTTGGCAAATCTCAAAATAATTTTTACGTTAACCATCGCATTTTGTTCCAAACACCGTTCCAATATAATTGACAGAGCGTCGCCGATCGGCCTGTTCTAAGCTACAGGGACGTTCCGAAAACTTTGATTTCATTTATTTGCTTGCATTTGATTACCGTCATATTTAAATTCTTTTCAAGTGTATTAATTAATTTTTAATAAATTTTCCGTATACAGGGTGGCCACTTTTTTAATGGGATTGTATTAGTAATTTCCAAACCATACTAGTTAGAAAGTCGGTTAAATAGAGAAAAAGTTGCGTATCTCGAAGCCTACTCTAGCGGTGAAAATTAATCGAAAATAGCAGGCCCGGTTCTTGAGATATTTCGATAAAAAGAAATTCAATCTTTTCGGTTTTTTGGTTATCGTTCATTTATTTTCAGAACTACTAAAGAAGCTTCAAAAGGTTTTTTATCTGATAGTAAATTTTCTTTGATTTGACGTTTTCATATTTTGCATCAAACTTTTCGTATTCTCCGGACCACCCTCAACTTATTTTTTTTAAATATGGACCTGAATATTTTATAACATTATTTGAAATATCTTTTCATCCTGCATCCAGCGGTGGCATTTAATGACGGTTTTTGGGTAATATGGACCGTAATCCGAATTTTATTGGTACGGATCTGTATTGATTTTATAATCAGTGTATAATACTTCGAACATAAAGTGATTGATTAGGAAAAAATAAATGGAAGAATCCAAGAAGAAGAAATAAGCAATAGCATAAGAAATCAGAATCGCCAAGTGTATTGAAGAAGATGGCGGACATTTTAAACAATTACTCAACAGTGGCGGTTTGCCCGTAAGGGCACTTAGGCACGTGCCCTAGTATAATAAACAAAAAAAAAATTACATATTTTATATTTTCCTCAATGCCTATTATTTTATTTAATATTCAGCGCAAACCGCGTTGACAGGACACTGAGCGACGTTCCGAAGATGGGCACAGGGCACAGTAAATGTGTGCCTCTGTTGTTTTCTCTCTCATTATGATGCGAAAAACAAGGACAACGATGCGCATGTGATGGATTATACGTCACAAGATTATCTGTCCCAGATTATCCTACACCAGATACAAATGTACGCGGTGACAATAGCCTAGAGCAACCACCACTTTCTTCCTAGATCCAGCGGAAGAAATAGTACGGTCGATTGCGTTGGCTCCAGTTTCAGCAGAGCTTGCGACCGTTGAACGTTTAGTCCGACCGCCTAGGTTACAAAACTTCGCCGAACTTGTGAATTTGTGAAATTTATTATGACGGGATATAAATTTGTAGATGTTGTACATCTGAAAATAGAGATGGGACAAAATTTTAATTTTTCTTTTGGTTTTCTCTGACTTTTTCGAGGATTTCAAATCTGTTTGCATATTTAAGAGTATAAAAAATTCTGAGTCTTATAAATAATTTAATGGTGTACATTTTCGCAAATTGTTAGCAAGGATGACCAAATTCTATTTTGCTCATCTCAAGAAGGTATGTGTTGGAAATTCCAGGCTTAGTTGACAAACTATCAAATAGAGATATAAATATTTTTTCTAATTTGAAAATAAAAAGAGAATTTTTTCGCTGGGAGATTTTAAATTGCCAAACGCTTTTTCTTCAGAGTCGTATGCTTTAAAATGCGTTATTAAGTTAGAATTGTTAAGTTAATTGCATTCTTCTGAGAAATGTACGCAAATTTCGCAAGAGTGGATATGTAATGATTTTTTGATTGAATAGCCACATACATAGTTAAATGCATTTTGAGTAATCACATTTAGATTCCTGTAGTCACATTCAGAAATCAATATTGCCCCAACTGATTGTTCTGAAATATATTTAATTTTCATTAAGCGGGGAACTTGTTTACCTAAGGGAAAAACGAATCCCGGGATTCCTTTCCAGTGTGTGACCCACTGCCGCTATTGCCCACGAGCCGCCACTGTTACTCAATTAATTTTATTAATTTTTTCAAATAATTTGATTATGACTTACAAAAACTGAATTTCTTCTTGTTATTATCAGTAATTGAGTTTTAAAATTTCTACATTTTTATTGTTGTTGATGAATTGTTTAATTTTCGGAGAATTAGATAAATTTTGTAAGAATTGACTTTATTTTTTATCTAGAGGCATGACATTATGTCGATTCAACTAAAGAAGGCTGAAACCAGGAGTAAATTTAATAAAATTTGGATTACGGTCCATATTACCCAAAAACCGTCATTGAATGCCATTGTGTAATACACCGCTGGATGCAGGATGAAAAGTTATTTCAAATAATGTTATAAAATATCCAGGTCCATATTTAAAAAAAATAACCTGAGGGTGGTCTGGAGAATACGAAACGTTTGATGCAAAATATGAAAACGTCAAATCAAAGAAAATTTACTATCAAATAAAGAACCTTTAAAATATTTTTTGGTAGTTCTAAAAATAAATGAACGATAACCAAATAACCGAAAAGATCGAATTTTCATTTCTCGAAATATCTCAAGAACCGGGCCTGCTATTTTGGATTAATTTCCACCGCTAGATTATACTTCGAAATAGGCAACTTTTTCTCCATTTAACCAACTTTCTAACTAGTATGGTTTAGAAATTACTAATACAATCCCATTAAAAAAGTGGCCACCCTGTATAGGGAGTTTCATAATTCCCGGACCGCTTGACCTCCTGTGCTAGCGAACCGTAATTATTTCTCAATATTTAAATTGTTTTCGAGTGTATTAATTTATTTTTAATAAATATTCCGTATAAAGGGAATTTCATAATTCCCGGACCGCTTGGCCTCCTGTGCTAGTGAACCGTAATTATTCATTAATTTTTAAATAGTTTTCAATGGTAATAATTTATTTTTCATAAATTTTCCGGATATAGGGATCCATCGGGACGGTGGTGTAGCGGTCTATCGCGCTTATATTCATTTATAGGCAAGTTTATGAGTCTGAGACTGCTGGGTTTCGAATCCTAAACCATGGTTCGGTTTAGGATTTGATGTGTGGCGTATTAATAGAAATTCAATTTCTGTTGATATGACATGCAGATTAAAAAAAAATTCGCCATACATTACCGTCTCGATGATGGTGGGTGAGGTTTTCCGGGTTTTCCTCACCTGTAAGTCAAGTGGCACCATCAATCATCTTTGTGTCGCCCCGGAGTGCTACGGCTAATAATAATAATAGCCGTCCCTTCCCCTACACAAGTCGTTCAGTCGACTTCAGGGGTTGAAATTCACTCGTAAGGGGGTGAATTAGGGAGAGTATTATTATTTATCAATATTTAAATAGTTTTCAATTGTAATAATTTATTTTTCATAAATTTTCCGGATATAGGGACCCATCAATATTTAAATAGTTTTCAATTGTAATAATTTGTTTTCCATAAATTTTCCGGATATAGGGATCCATCAATATTTAAATAGTTTTCAATTGTAATAATTTATTTTTCATAAATTTTCCGGATATAGGGATCCGTCAATATTTAAATAGTTTTCAGTTCTAATAATTTATTTTTAATAAATTTTCCGAATATAGGGAGCCGTTCATATTTACTGTTGTAAATATATATTTTATTACCTTTTCCTGTGTTTCTCTTACTGCTGGTTCTTAGCCGTTCTCTTTCAGGGCACCGTAGGGTACGAGGTGTAAAGGAGATAAGTGTTTTATTTTTATTTATTCTAGTATAGTGGCTACCTAGCAGTGACCGCCTAGAATTATTTTTACCTCCACTGAGGTCACCTTGAGCACACTCTGGTGTACCACAGGGTCGCAGAGCAAACTGCGATACCAAAACTGGCGCCAGAGCAACCCCTATTCGGGACACAGACTCGTTGATTCACTGTAGGTGAACAAGAAGCCTGTCACAGGACAAGTCACTTCACGTCCCACTAAATGTAGGGTAAGGGTGAATTCGCCCCCCTCCCCATAAGTGTAGGTCTTTCTTATTTCGAGTATTTTGAAATATTGGTTTTATAGGCAATTAAAAATTTAGACAAATTCGAAGAGTAGACTGACCTCCTTCTCCCACCCTTTTTTATACATTTTCTGGGCTCTTAATGATAATTTTTGATATGGTTCAAGACAGGGTGCAAACTGAAGTCGGTTATAGTAGACAGATTTTGGTTTCCCATACCCAAATCCCCTTTTATAGAGGCCTTAAGAGCAAACTCAAAAATTGTGTTTCATATATCAATAAAAGAGGGTTTTTAAATTGTGAGTTACTGTTATTACTGAGGCCCTTCCTATGGGGCCTCAGTATTGCATTCGTGCAGACGAAAAAATTTTCTTACCCCCATTTTTTAAAACTTTTTTTCATGTTTCCGATTATTCTGAGTACGAAAATGCAAAAAAAAATTTCATCTGGTCGTCTGTGTGTGTATGTATGTATGCATGCCCGCACAATAACTCTAGAACGAAATTTCTGATTGACTTACGGTTTTGATTTTCTTGAATAATTACTTCTAACTTAGAACCCTATTGATTTTCAGAATTTTCGGTTCATCCTAACTACTTAAATATCAAATTTCTTAAAATCCGCCTATGCAATTCTTATGTGACAATTTTAGGAATTCCAATTATTTCTAACGTCAACATTCCTAACATTCTCAACATTTCATAAATTGCAAACATTCTTTAACGACCTGTCAAACAACAGCTGTTGATAGTAAAGGTGAAATTTTTAAGGCGGGTTGCGACCTTCATACTTGCAACCAT